TTTGTTTTTCAAATATTTCCAGGTCTTAGAGAATAGACCTTTTTGTGACAGAGGAAACTGGGAAAAAATATCCCCCCAGACTATTCACACAAAAAATAGTGATATTATTTTGCAAGGGGCAAGGTCAAAGGGAAGAATTCTACTCTTTCTTCATATGATGAGAATATGGAAACTAATAAGGCAATCAACTTCATGACTTTCTGCTGGAAAGACAACAGGAATTGGAGCACCCAGGTTCACTGTCACATACAGGATTGAAGCCTTCACAGCTGACACTCAACTTTTCAGGACACAAGGGAACAAAAGGGAGGAATTTCTCTCTGTAGGGCATCAGGGAGTTTTGTAAAAGGGGGATGGGGTCTTTCAACTAGAGACATGAAAGAGAGCTGCAGAGAGGAGACACTAGAATGTTCTCTTTTTGGGAAACTGAAGCCATAAACAAACCCTCCCCTTCCGCTGGTAAAGAGTATAAGTAGAATAGATAAAGGGACAGCCTCTGCTCTCTTTCATACTACATTGCTTTTTTGAGAGTCACTGCAGCTTAAGAAAATAACTTTGTACATTTCCATTATAGAGGGTTTGGTCTGGGGAAGACAGTCAGGACAGTAGGTACTCAAGGAAAGGATGGTGGCTGCTCTCCAAACATCTTCCCAGGGCTACAGAGCAGGGGGTGGGTGGAGGTGGAGGTGGAGATCAATTGTTTAGATGAAAACCTCCAGCCGTGCTTTGCCCCCCACCCTCCCCCTATCACGCATAATAAGCTTGGAGCTTCCTTAAGGACAGAAATGAAGAAACTCCTTCATGCTAGACGACATGCATGTGGTAAGCCCAGCTAAAAGTAATAGGCACATGAACAAAATGTTGAGGACTTAGGATTCCAGGTGCCTCTCAGTGAAAGGCAATGGTTAATTGAATAGAATACACACTCATTAAATAATACAAGTCGGCCAGGTGCAGTGGCTCTGCCTGTAATCCCAATACTTTGGGGTCTGAGGTGGGTGGATCACAAGGTCAAGAGATCCAGACCATCCTGGCCAACATGGTGAAACTCCGTCTTTACTAAAAATGCAAAAATCAGCTGGTTGTAGTAGGCATGCCTGTGATCCCAGCTACTCAAGAGGCTGAGGCAGGAGAATTGTTTGAATCTGGGAGGCAGAGCTTCCAGTGAGCTGAGATCATGCCACTGCACTCCAGCCTGGGCAACAGAGCAAGACTCCATCTCAAAAAAAAATTTAAAAAAAGACTACAACTAATTTTTTTCTTTAGAATTCAACATTAGCTTCTAAAAGACTCCAACTGATTATGTTTTATTACCTGGTTTGTTACACATCTATTGTGAAGTGCTATTAAATTATAATGAATTAGTTTTCCCTCCACAGAAGTGTCACCTGAACATACTTAGCTGGCTCATCAGTGCCACAAATATGTAATTATTTATCTTATTAAGTAGTTTCATTACCTTTTACACACTGCAAAGTGCTTTTTCATTAGTTTTACCTGAAAAAAAAGAAATAAACTACTGTAAAGTGAAAAGTTCTTAGCTACGGTTATCTACTCAGAAAATTCCAAAGTTTCTTGGGCCTCTAGATCCTGCTAAGAATTTTGCCTTTGATCTACAGATCAAAGCCTACAGCAAGAATCTCATTAAAACTATGAAACTTTGCCATAGAAACTAAATGTAAACGGAGAATGCTACATAAAATTTGGGGGGTTTTATGGATCCTCAGAAAGCTAGTCTATGGAACCCCAGATTAAGAAACTCTGGATTTTCAAAAAGATTTTGAAAATTCTTGATAAATTATATACAACAATAAATTTTCTGATACTTTACACTTGACTTTTTCAGGTATTTATGCAGAAGGCAAGCATCTATCATTGTAATGGCAAAGATAACAGAGGTAATTTCGATCAGGATTTTGTTAATTTAAAAAGAAATAATGTCCTATCCCTTCAATCTTTCTACATCAACCAAAGATACATTGTGTAGTTTCTTCCCAGGTAAATTTTACATGAAAAGAAGAAATTACTCTGGTCACTGCAGCAATGTCAAATCCTAAAGAACTGAGAAAGCATGTTGTATCCTGAGATATATTGGGAGCTTACTCTTTGCTAGACATTATGCTAAGCACTTTACATGCATTTTTACATTTGATTCTCAGAATAAGCATATAAGAAAGTTACTCATGTATTTTTTTAATCTGCATCTTACATAGAAGGAAATTGAGAGGAACACAGTAATTTGGCTGAGGTCACACTGTTGATAAATGATGATGCTGGAACTCAATTTTTCTTTTGCAATTTGGCAGCCAGGCAAAAGTCATCAGAAACAGGTGTCTTATCTAAAGTTCCATGAAAGAGGGGCAGTTTTTATTTCAAGGAAACAAATGACATAAATCAATTTGCACCTGCCCTTGATTTTGTGCCAATTTATTTATAATGAATTGTGAAGGTAGCCCTAAATTCAGAGAATTTTAAATAGTCTTAAATCAGGTATGTAACATGCAATCCCATTTGTCCAGAAAAGAGGCCAAAGGCAGAACAATAAATCTTTTCCACAGCAAAATTATCACAAGGGTGTGTGGAGTCTTCCAGTCTCGAGGACTCTTCCCATTTAAATGGAAACTGCAAATCACCGGGTTATCATGTGGTATAAGTCATGAGTCTATCAATCTCTTTCACTCTTCATTTGCCTTAGATTGATTTGACTTTGTGATAATGCATCGTTCCGATCACCCCGTGCCATTGTTGATATGAAGTCTCCAGAGAAAACTACAAACAGACAAAGAAGGCTGGCAGCTCAATCTTAATAGAGTCTTAGGATGAAGAATAGCAATATTTGGGAGCATCACCAACATGATAGCGGTGCCCAAGAGAACTTTCAAGATATGAGCCAGCAATAAAATATGTGTAGAAGTGAATGGTAATGCAGAAACTGAAAACAAATTATTATAACCACTCCAGTTCATCACAAAGTTTTGCTCCTAAGAATATAATACTCAGATGCCTACTGAGCTAAATATGCACGACAGTGGTTAATCAAGTTGAAATACAGGGTTGGGTTTGCATTTGTGAGACGCTAAAGTCCAGAGCAGTTGAATTACTTGAAATCTCACTGAAAATTGGTGGCGGCAGGACTTATTCCAATGTCTGTCTACTATACCTCATTCCTATTCTAGTCTATTCTAGACCAGGTATCAGCAAGCTTTTTCTTTAAAAGTCAAATAGCAAATATTTTAAGCTTTTAGTTCATTTTGTCTCTGTAGCAACTACTGGGGTCTGCCATTGTATCATGGAGGCAGCCATAGATAATAATAATGAATGGGCACATGTTCCAATAAAACTTTATTTGTAAAACAGACAGCTGGTCAGATTTTGCTGGCAGAAAGTAATTTGCAACTCCAGACTACGAATTTCAGCTCTGCCATTCGTTAATTATAGGTTTTGATTTAGTCAGTAGTCTCTTTCAACCTGATTTATCCCCCAATGAAGTATACTATTTTCCCAACAGTGGAAGTAATCATTCTCATAAGTTGTTGAAAATGGCTTTCGATAGAATATAGTTTGGGGAATAACACTCTTTAGATTTATAAAATCATATAAAAATATTTGTGTGTATGTATGTAAATGTACATGTATAATTTATTGACACCTGTAATGTGCTACATACCCTAGCAAACACTTTACAAATAACAAATATGATCCTAAAAGGTATCTTTTAGTATAGATGCCAGGCGGTTGAAAGATTAGTGAACTTGCCAAAGCTGCATAGCACCCAAAATGTGGAACTGAGATCAGTTGCTCCTTAAAAGCTTCACTCAGACCCCTACACTATGTTGTCTTTCCATTGTCCTGATGAGGACAAAGTACTGATTTTCTTGGGAGTTTCATGTATGTGGTTACAAGACATTTTTTGTGGCAGACAACCTTCCGCCCTTACCCAAACTGCACTGGGCCACATTTTTCCAGTGAATGAAGCAACAGCACTAAAAGTTAGTGTTCATGGCTCTTGTGTGCTCTCATTCTAGTCCTGCTTCCTTTTACTTTCAGTTACAAACAATGACTGTTAAGAGGACTTTGGCCTTAGAAATTTTCCCTCTACCAGCAAGATTTGGGGATCTCTGAAGAACAGAAACACCTGGGGGCTCTGTCCGAGGAACAGGAATGGAAGAAGCAAAAATATATATTATCAAGGCCCCAGGTAAGAGAAATAGCCAGGGAGGGAAACCACTGGGGCTGGGTTGGAAGAGGGCTCCACGTGAGCCAGCATCCAAAGAATGCACTGAAGACCTTCTGGAGCCCAGAATTGCAAGGGAAGCCCTCATTGTTTTCCTCATGGCTATTATTTCCCAGGAAGAAAAGGGTAATACTTAAAAGCAGCACTTTTTTCCCCAATAAAGTAAATGCAGCAGAGTCTAGGAATTTATTTTGCTTACAGTTTGATTTCCTGGCCTGTTAATTTCTCAGAAAGAAAAGGAATTTGAAAGTGAGAAATATTTACTTATGTGGGAATAAATATGCATGAAAATGCTAAACAAAAGTGCAAAACCAGTATTTATACACATTTGCATGAATTTTAAAGCAATATGAATCAAGAAAGCTCTAATATTATCATTCTGACTCTTTATAATGGGACAGATAATAAAGAAATATATATACTTATATTTTACTCTATGTATGAATAGATGCATATTATGTCAAAGAATTTCTTTATGAAATAACTATTTTCTTCTTGTAAACTAATAAAAACAGTTTGAGATGATCAAAATTAAGGGATCAAGCTAGTGAATAACAAAGTAAAACATTCTAATCTGTATATGTAAATGAGGTAACAGCAACACATTCAACATCTGTTAAATTCACAAAATATGATATTCATTTCATAAGGTTTAAAATACAGGCATGAGTATTATGAAGAGGAATATAACTGCACAGAGAGAACTCTATTTGACATTTTTTCATTTCATATTTACACTCAGCTGTATGTGTAAATAAACAGGTATTTTAATATCTGTACCAAATGAAAAAATATATTGCACTAGCCTGAGCTTTGATGCACATGGTTTATATATGTAGTTTAATTTTGAAAAGAAAATGATGGTGAGCCTGGAGATTATCAAAGTTATACCTAGAGAAATGAGAAATTATCACCTTAGCCACCTTCCCTGTTGAATAGAAGTCTGGAAATGCCTTCATTTTATGTCAACAGAAAACACACCCTTGCCTGGTAAATGGTTACATATCATAAAATATAGATTGTCTCTAATTAACAGAGAGAAAGACATTGCCTTTCCAAGTCTGGTATGTTGCCTTTCCAATTATAGGTATGTTATCCTATAATTTTGTCACAACTGATCTTTATTTAATTGTTCCTATTTTAAGGATTATTTATCTTGTTTTTACCTCCTTGACTGCCTCCTTCTAGTGTATTATAAATTGAAACCACTATTAGCAACATCACTAATTTCCCCTAAAGATCATCTGAGCTTTCAAGCTGAAACATTGCACTCAGTATTTTATTTTTCATAAAATTGAAATGGTTTTAGATGGATAATTTTTATCATCTTTAATGCAAGCCTCAAAGGTAGCCTGTTTTTTTTAACAAATAAACAATTGCTTGGACTCAAATTTTTAACTGCCATATTTCAAAGAAAAGATAATGCTAAAAGGGTGTTCGTTATAACAATTAAGCCCTTGTTCAATGAAAAATAGACTCGTAAGCTGAAGGCCAGTAAACTTCACAAGGTATGTAACAAATCATATTTCAATTTAATGAACACAGATTTTTTTCTTCCATGTTTAGTATTTGTCACTTAGATGCATAAATAGAGAACTAGATTTGGAATAAATAAAGCATAGTGATAATTTGTGACAGCTCTGATCAATCATATATATATGCACTGTGATTACATGAAATGAAAGGGCCATCCACATGTAAGGCTGATAAATGGCTCCAAGTCCAAAAAGATCTGTAGACCAGCTTTCTTTCTCTTTCACCTGGAAAAAAAAAAAAAAATATATATATATATATATATCAACTGCTTAACTGGAAAATCTTTACCTAATATTTCAAATGAAATTTAAAATATTACAGTGCTAGATGATGTTCAATCATTAGGATTAAACACAACAAGATAACAAATATTATTAAAAAAGAAAGAATTAAAACTAACTGTATGTGACACAGTTCATTAATGGGGAGGAGACTTGCCTGGCTGATATAGAGAAGAAATGATATGGTGCAGAAAATGATAAAATTGACACTTTACAAAAGAAGACATATATGAGGCCAACAAAACTATGAAAAAATGCTCATCATCACTGGTCATTAGAGAAATGCAAATCAAAATGACATTGAGATACCATCTCACACCAGTTAGAATGGCGATCATTAAAAAATCTGGAGACAACAGATGCTGGAGAGGATGTGGAGAAATAGGAACACTTTTACACTGTTGGTGGGAGTGTAAATTAGTTCAACCATTGTGGAAGACAGTGTGGTGATTCCTTAAGGATCTAGAAATAGAAATTCCATTTGACCCAGCAATCCCATTACTGGGTATATATCCAAAGGATTATAAACTCTTCTATTATAAGGACACATGCACACGAGTGTTCATTGCAGCACAGTTTACAATAGAAAAGACCTGGAACCAACCCAAATGCCCATCGATGATAGACTGGACAGGGAAAATGTGGCACATATACACCATGGAATACTATGCAGCCATAAAAAATGATGAGTTCATGTCCTTTGTAGGGACATGGATGAAGCTAGAAACCATCATTCTCAGCAAACTGACACAAGAACAGAAAATCAAACACCTCATGTTCTCACTCATAGGTGGGTGTTGAACAATGAGAACACATGGACACAGGGAGGGCAGCATCACACACTGGGGTCTGTCAGGAGGAACTAGGGTAGGGACAGCAGGGATAGGGAGTTAGGGAGGGATAACATGGGGAGAAATGCCAGATATAGGTGATGGGGAGGAAGGCAGCAAACCATATTGCCATGTATGTACCTATCCAACAAACTTGCATGTTCTTCACACACACCCCAAAACCTAAAACACAATAAAATATGTGTGTGTGTGTGTGTGTGTGTGTATATATATATAAACCAAAAGCTACAACTACTTGTTGGAAGGATGAGAATGGAGTATTTACTCTGCTGGCAATGGGGAGCCATCTTGACAGGGACTTAGGTGATGCAGACAACATTTCTGAAGAGTGATCTGGCAGCTGTTGGCAGAAGAGACTGAACAGAGAAGGTCTGAACATACATAGGCTTGCAAGAGAAGAATAATCTTAGTGGCTAAAGAGCACTAATGAGAAGTTGCTGAACATAAGCACTGGCAGGGGTTATGACCAAGTGTGTTAGTTCATTTTCACACTGCTATAAAGGTTTTACCTGAGACTGGGTAATTTATAAACAAAAGAGGCTTAATTGACTCATAGTTCCACATGGCTGAGAAGGCCTCAGGAAACTATGATCGTGGCAGAAGGTGGAAGGGAAACAAGACATATCTTACAGTGGCAGCAGGAGAGAGAGAGAGAGATTTTGAAAGGGGGAAGCGCCAGACACTTATCAAACAAGCAGATCTCATGAGAACCCTCCCTATGATGAGAACAGCATGGGGAAACTGCCCCCATCATCCAATCACCTTCTACCAAATTCCTCCCTCAACATGTGGAGATTACAATTGAAGATGAGATTTGGGTGGGGACACAGCCAAATCATATCAGCAGAAAAGGATGTTTTGAGAGATATTATGAAGGAAAACTTGACAGGACGCCTTTCAGTTCAAAAAAAAATTGAGAAGATTCTAGAATTAACAACTGGGGAAGTGACTTGGAAACAGGAAGGGCTACTTCTGCAATCAGTTGAGATGGTATAAATTGTGAAATAATAACAGAATCCCCAGATCTCCTATTCACAAAACAACAAAGTGTTTGTTGTTATTGTTTCTGTTGTCCACTTACACCACCTGTCCATGGTGGTCAGGTGGCCTCTGCTCCTCCTTAACAGCCTCACTCAGGGTCACTGCTGATAGCTTCTGCAGAACCAAGAGAGAAGGGGAAACACATACTGTGTCTACAGCTTCTGCATAGAAGGGACACGAGACTTCCTGTTATGTTCCACTAAGAAAAGCAAGTCACATGGCTCTGCCTGGCTTCAAGGTGATGGATGCTGGTGATTAGTAGTTTAACATATCAGTTTCTCCTTTTGTGATGAGTCTTTTGTGTAAGAATTTTTGACTCTGTTCTGTAAAATATGAAAAGCAAATTTATTGCCTTCATCTCTTAGAGACAAATAAATAAGTGTACCTGAGTCCATGTGAGAGAAAATAGAAATGTGTAGAAGTGATAAAGAATATCCCTAGCTATGTAGTCAGTTTCATAAATATACAATCTTCTATGTAGTCAGTTTTATAAATATACAATCTTCTAAATTTCATAAATATACAATCTTGGTTTGCCATTTAATAGGGCTTTCTACAAATTAGTTTCATACGGCTGCTGCAACAGATAACCACAAACCTGGTGTCCTCACATACCATACATTAATTCTTACAGTTCTAGAGGTTAGAAGTTCAAAATCTGTTTTACTGGGCCAAAATCAAGGTGGGTGTCAGGAGGGTTGTACTCCTTTTATAGACTGTAGGGGAGAATCTGTTCCTTGCCTTTCCAGTTTTTGGTGGCTGCTGACATTTCTTGGCTTGTGATTGCATGATTCCAGTCTTTGGCAGTGGTAAGCCACTGTAGATTTCAACAGGGACTTGTATGATGCAGGCAACATTTTCTGAAGAGTGATCTAGCAACTGTTGGCACAAGAGACTGAACAGAAAAGGGTCTGATTGTAGGGTCACAAGGGAAGAATCATCATAGTGACTCAAGAGCACTAATGAGAAGTTGCTGAACTTAAGAGTTGGCAGTGCTCATGGTGAGGAAAGGATGTTTTGAAAGATACTGCCATTGTCTCCATGGTCACATTGACTTCTCCTCTTCAGTGTAAATTCTCTCTCTGCCTCTTTCTTGTAAATACTCCAATTATTACATTTGGGCCCATCCTGATAACCCAACATAACTGTCTCATCTCAAAATCCTTTATCTTTCCACATATGCAAAATCATTTTTGCCATTCACAGGTTCCTAGGATTAGAACTTCCTTATCCTTGGGTCATTATTCAGCCTACAGCACTCATTATGGAATTACTTATGTGGCTTCCACTGTGTTTAGATAAGCACAGGAAATAAAATCAACCAAAGCATCATTAGCATAGAACTATGCTCTAAAATGTCAGCCATAAGAAGTCTCTGAAAGAATGTTCCAATATGAGGAAGCAAGGCATAATTTTGTGTAAGTTTAGGAGGAAAGATCAACTAGAATTCATCTAGCTTTAAAAATAGTTGGTCAAAGATGATTCTTGTTGTTTTTGTTAACTTTCTCAAAATCACTGAATTTATTTATTCAGAAACTATTTTAAGTTTTTAAAAATTTTTTAAATAATGTCAACTCTTATTTTAGATTTGGGGGTACATGTTTATGTTTATTATATGAGTAAGTTGCAAGATGCTGGGTTTTGGGGTATAACTAATCCTAGTGAGCACAATACCCAATAGTCAGCTTTTCAACCCTTATTTCCCTCCCTCCCCATCTAGTAGTCTCCAGTGTCTATTGTTGCCAGAGATGATTCTTCAAAGAAAGGGGGTTGCCCAGTGGGTTGGCAGCCATTGTTCATAGAGTATGGATTTTTTTATCCAGATGAATGAACAACAGTTTCAGGCTAAGATTATGTGCAAGGTCAGCTTGCAGGTTAAAAAAAAAAGCACCTCCAGGTAAAGAGGACAGGTATGAAGGAAGATCCAGTGTAAAATTCTCAGATTCTCAGCATCTCTTTTAAAAAATCTGTTATCTATTCATAGACTTCCAATTGTAGAAGAGCCATCATCTAAGGAATGGAATAACTTCTGTTATCCTTGAAGATTCTGTGTAAGTTTGACTCTGCTCTGCTCATCCTAATGATCTAAGGAGAATAGAAAGAAACTAAGAAAAGTCAGACATGTATACATTAGAAAAGGAAAAGAGCTTTCTGCACAAAAAAATATTAGATCTAGAAAGGCAGAAAACGAAGGAAGGAGATAAAAGTTATGCCAGGCTAAAGAAAAAATGGGGAAAGATAATTTAAATCATTTTCTTGCTGTTAGAAATATAATTTTATTTGCCCCTCTTCTAAAGACTTCAGCAATATATATATATGTATATATATATACACATATATATACATGTCTATATATGCGTATATATGTATATATATACACGTATATACACATATATACACATGTGTATATATGCATATATATGTATATATATACACGTATATACACATATATACACATGTGTATATATGCATATATATGTATAGAGAGAGCAAATATATATATATTTAGCTAAAGTCTTCAGATATGTGTATATATATATAGATATAGATATGTATATATATAGAGAGAGAGAGAGAGAGAGCCATGACTAGACACAAATTCCCTGTAGAGAAATTTACCACTAATTATCTAACTTGTACACTAAAATCAGTGAAATAATGTCAGTTCCAAATTTCAGCAACTCTCCCCTTGAATATTTTAATGTAACATATTGGAGGTTGCAGTTTTTCTCATTGGGTAGGTGCTTTCCAATTATAGTTTTACTTTAAAATTTCTTTAAATATATAAATGATTTTAATTGATTGTATTTGTGCATAAAACAATTTTGAGTACTTAAACATACCTAAATGACAATGTCAGAACAACCAATCATGGATCAAATTGATTGGTCAGCAATTAACCATAATTAGAAACAAAATATAATGAAGCAAAAGATAATATGATCAATTTATTAATATAAATATACACACCTTAAGATTTCATTTGTTCTTGAAAATCCTACCTGTCCTAAATTCAAAGGATGTTGTTGAATATTATAATCACATCCTAAA